TACATGAAGGGCGCTGGACACGGCCCCTTCCCGTGGGCAGTCCTGCAACACGGTGGACTCGGCGCTCCACCCATTGTTCCTTCATACCAAACAGACCTCGAGCCGACTCACATCAACGAATCCACACCTAGGTAATGGATGGGCAGGCCAGGCGCTGGGTGGACGGGTGCATGGGACACTAAGGCCCCCGTGGGCTCCGAGACCCAGGCAAGGAGTCACCCGGAGAGGAGCTCCCGGGGATCCCCAGTGCGGAGCTGCCCTTTGGGCTTGGTGAACGAACGACCCCCAGGCCAGAGTGGGGGCTGGTGTTCATGTAGCGACTTTACCTGGAGGCAGAGACCAGGCGGTGTGCCGCTGCCTGCATGGGCCGCACAGAGGGCTCGGGGCCGACTCTGGTCTCACAAGGCACTGCCTGGGCAGCACCACAGCCCCTCTGAGGTCAGGCCAGCCTTTCGGGGTGCCTCTGCCTGTTCCTCAGGCCCCTGAGGGTTCACTGCTGGTGGACACACACCTGGCCCAGGCCATCCTGCGCCACTCAGGGCCTCCAGACAGAGGCTATGAGCAGACCTGTGGATGGCCCATTCTCAGGAAGTAGAGAAGGAAATGCCCGCATGCAGGGCCACAAGATGGCCATGAAATCCAGAGGACGAGGCAGGGTGGGCCCTTGGGAGCTGCCAGCCTTGCACCTCCCACCAGGCGGGGCCTCTCATGCCCCTGCCCTCTCAGTGCCCTTGGGGGTGACAATCTGTGCATGCGTACAAACAAAACACGTTGCCACGTGAGGTGGCACCTTATTGGGGCAGGAGGCAGAGGCCCCCAGGGCCATGGTTCTGACTCAGGCACCCTGATGTGGTCTCCAGCTTCCCTTTGCAGCCCTTCCCTCCCTACCCCAGGGAGAGTGCAGGGAGCCCCAGACCTTCCAGGGCCTCCCCTAAGGTGCAAACAGGCGGGTCAGTGCTCCCAGGCCGGGCTGCCTGAGACCCCACAGGGCTCTGCCGAGCCTGGGCTTCAGCTCCCCCACAGTGGCAAGGAGGGTGCGGTGGCAAGGGCTAAGCTGACAGTGCCCAGGGCCACTCCTCCTGTGGCTTCCAAGCTGCCGGTCACCTGGGACATCAATACCCGGACACCGTCCTTTACACTGCAGGGAGGCAGCAGGCCCAGCCCTTCCAACCTCTGCCCCCCACATTCCCTCAGTGAATCATCTCCTGCGCACTGCGCCCCAGCCATTGTCCTGGGCCACACCCCTGCCTGACACTGCCCGGCCCTCCTCTACCCACTTTCCAGCCCCAGCTCAGAGAGCAGCTCCACCACACGCCCAGCTTCCAAGGGGCTCTCTCATGGGCCAGGTCCTTTGGGGGAGCTGGCTGGTCTTCCCTGTCTGGGCCTCCACCCCGTCCCCTGGTAACTGTTGTGGCTGTTGGCTGCACACTCTGCTCTGGAAGCACCCACAGGGCTGGGGATGTCCCTCAGCAGGACAAGCCCGCCGCAGCAGAATCGTCCTAGCACAGATGAGAACCCTGCTCCCAGTCACTTGCCTGCAGCCCTTTCTGTACACAGCCTGGGCAATTTTGCAGGAACAGAGGTTCATTTACCTCCCGACTCTGGAGGCTCAGATGTGAGGCGCTCTGGCTGCACTGTGACACGTCCGGGCATCACGTGGGGAGACAATGCCACCCTGTACCCCTGGTCTCCCTCCCCTTCTAAAGCCACGAATGCACCACTCCGGGCCCTCATCTAGCCAGTCACCTCTCCCTGCCCATAAGGTAGGAGAGGGGGATTTAGGCTCAAACACAAGGAGTGTGGGACACAATAAATTTCTTCTGTGAAGAAAAAGTGGCAGGACCACGGACCACTTTCCTTCAGGGCCACCGCTTCTGTTCTGGAGACAGTCACATCTCCGGCAGCAGGAGTGTTCCTGGACTTCTCCTGCCACCCCGATAATGAACTGCTGTGCCTGACAAGCACTCCCTAGGAGACGGCGGCAAGGGCACCAAGCGCTGGCAGAGCAGTGACAGCCGCCTCCACCTCCTCCAGGCAGCCGGGACTCGGGTCTCAGCCTGTGTGAAACCACTCCACATCCCCAGGATCACAACTGAGTCATCACAACTGCACACACAGAGAAGCATACCCAGAGCAGCTGCCACTTCCGTGGGTGCTATGAAACCTTTGCAAGCCAGCACGCTTACAGCTCAGCGCTGACCTCGGTTTTCCCAGGCCTCACTAGTGTGCACACGATAGACCCAGCTTCAGGCAATGTTTTCTGGCACGCTTACCTCTCAGGGAGGCAGAGAGGCGATTCCTAAGGGGTGGAATGTAGCTGCCAGCAGGGAATGAGTCCTACCGGGCACAGCCGAGGACGCGGAGCACGGCTGCCGGTGTGCGCAGGGAGCGACACAGTGGCACGGACACAGGTGCCTGTGCGTGAGCAACCTGCACAGTCCCACAGCTGAGGTCAGGCCAGCACTTCCGTCCCGCTGCACATCAAGGCGTGTGCATGAGGACAGCATGGGGGTGGCAGGGCGCCAGCCAACACTCTGGATACCAGGGCCCAGAGGCAGCGGCAGGCCAGCCTCTTGGACATTCGTGGGACCAATACACACATCCTTTTCAGACTTCCCAGGCTCATCCACAGGCCAGCTCGCAACACAGCACACCCACCTCTGTCTGTTCCACTTGGGTCCCTCCCGGACACATGCCCGACGGATCTGCAGGCTTGCTTACTTCTATCTGATACCCAAACTTGGCAACTACAGAGCCCCAACTACTCCCGAGGGAAACCCCCAGCTTCCAATACACAGCCAGGACAGGCCCTGTGCAGCTCCAACAGAAAGAGGGACCCTGGCAAATCTTACGAAAGATATCTTTGAAATCATACATCACCATGGGTGAGGATGGGGGCACACACCTATAATCCCAGCACTCCTGGAGACCGAGCAGAGGGCCCAAAGTACAGGGCTAACTTGAGTAACACAGCAAGACCCTGCCCCAAAATGTAAAATGCAACAAGGCCTGGGGAGGTAGCTCAGTGGAAAGGCCCTGAACTTCACTTCCCGTTCTACGCAACTTTCCCAGGCTAGAAGCAAGTGAACACAACTGCATGCGGACAGCCACACTAAAGCGCTTTAACAACACTGCCTCATCTCAGCAAGTGTCTCCCACAGGTTCGCAGGGCACCCCTCTCCTGCAGGAGCTCGGCGTTAGAGCAGCCCGGCTGAAAAGCAAGCCGCCTGTTAGTGCCCAGGAAGCTGCACTGTTAGAGATTCACCCTGGCGCAGCCACAGGGCAGACTTTTGAACTCAGAGACGCAAAGTCAACATCAAGAAAGCACTCCAAACGTGCTCTTTCCCTGGGGGTCACCACCCAGACGCCCCCTCTAGGAGCAATGTTTTCCACAGCACAGCATGAAGATACAGGGCCACACCAGGCATGGCGGTGCATGCCTGTCATCCCATGGAGGCCGAGGCAGGAAGGGCACACGTTTAAGCCCAACCTGGGCAACTGAGCAACTTGGCAGAACCCTGTCTCAAAAGCAAACTAATATACATATTTTCAAAAGCCTGAGGATGTAGCTCGGTGCCTGGGGCCAGTACTGCAAGAACAAGCTGAGAGAGTAAGCAACCGCAGACAGCAACCTCTGAGACCACGAACCAAAAATGTCTTTTGTTGGCACAATCCGACTTAGATATTTTGTCACAGGAACAGGAAGCTACCCAATCCAGCCCTGTGGGTTCAGGGGACACAGGCTACCAATGGCCAGTCACAGCTTCTGCCTCTGCAGAGCCAGGCCTGTCTGTCCCTGCAGGAGGACAGCAGCCCACAGAGGCCCGGGCTGTGGTGCCACCATGCTGTCCTTGTCCCTGGAGGCATGTGCGAGCGTACCTGGCTCTGGGCTGCCCTCAGGAAGCCCAGCTGGCCACTGCGTGGCTCTGGGCACCACAAGGGCTCCGCAGTGAAGCTACTCACGTCCTGGGTGCAGAATGGGAGACCCTGCTGAGAGATCCCGGTACAAAGGGAGCTGGCTTCCCCTTCAGCCACAAGCCAGGAGTAAGGAGGCTCCGCACCAGAAGCCTGAGGCATCCGGGCTCCTGCCTCCCTCAGTGCCCAACCGTGTTAGCTGTGTTCAGCCCGCCTGAGGCAGTCCGTGCCCCACACGCTGTGAAGTTCCTTCAACAAAACGGAATCCAACAGAAGAGTCTCAGGAGCTGTGCGCCCTGGAAGAGCACTGAGATGTGCTGCAGGGAGCCCCTGGGAGACAGCAGGTGGAGGCCATCCTCGGCTAGCAAGGCACACAAGGACTCCAGGGGTGGACAGTCCTCAGTCCCACCCACAGGACGCTGGCGCCACAGGGCACCCGAGGGGCGAAGAGCAGTGGACCCTGCCCTGGAGAATGAAGATGCACAGCATAATCCAACTGGCCAGGGGACGGCGAGTGTCCCGCCCCGCAGGGTCCCACTGGGGGAGCAGGACTCCCCAGCCCGGAGTCACACCAGGACACCCCTGCCACAGAGAGGGCGCAGGTGGGAACCACCACTGCTTGGAAGGGCTCAGACTCAGAAGGCAGGTCCTTGCGAGAAATGTTTTTCACATTAACCCTGTAGAAAAACTCTACAGAAGTCCTCATTTTAAAAATGTAAAGTATTATGTGAGGTAAAAATAGATTGTCAGGGGAAAAGAAAATATTCTGAATTGAAGGATTTGAACTGAGATCAGTCTCATTTGCACTCGATATGGTGAAATCTGCTCACTGCCTCCACCCAGAGCAGTCTGTGCATCGCTGCTCCAAAGCCAATCACACACGTCAGAGAAGCAGCAGGGGACAGCAGTGCCAGTGTCACAGCTTGAGGAGAAGCACGAGGCTTCAGGACCCTGCTGAACACTAAATCAAAGCAGGTGACCTGGCCAGAGTTGCGCAGAACGCCGCGCTCTCCACAGCACTAGCAGCACCACCATGGGGCGAGCGACTCAGACACCGCCCGTCCACGAAGTCCCCGTCTGCTCACATCCAGCATGGCAGGATGAGCCCAGTGACAGGGCAGACGGGTGGCTGGGGGTGGCAGGGCCTCTCCCGTCCGGATTCTGGCTGTGGCCATTCAATCTCCTTCCAACTTCATGGTTTGTGTACTGAACATTAGTGGGTCTTGCTCTTAATTAGCAGCAAAAAAAAAGAAAAAAGCTCTATTTAGAGATTTAAAAATTACCCAGCAGAAGGCAAGTGGCTCCTGCAGGATCCTCACACCCACCCAAGACTACCTGCAGCACACTCCCAAGCAGTGACGCTGAGAAAATACTGTCGGCCCTGACTTGGGACCCCGCTGCCTCGCCACGCATGCGGTGGAAGGGAACCCTCACACAGGTGTGCGTGCGCACACACACGTGTGCACACATGGGCGACAAACACATGCATGCTCACACGTGCATACACACATTTGCACAAGCATATACACACACATGCATACACAAACAAATGCGTAGGCACACATGTACGCACATACACACACCTGTGTGCACTCATGCACACACACACTAGCAGGCACACACACGTGCACGTGCACACAGACAGAAAGACAGACAGATACACACACACACACACACACACACACACACACACGGCTGGTTTCGGCCAAGCCCAGCAGCCTCAGCTTGCTCCGTAAGCACTGCTCGATCCATGCATACATGGCTGGTATCACTGCAGAGCTGTGGCAGGCCTCTCTCCTCCTATTCTGACCCGTACCAACACATGCAGCTTTTAATGTGATGAGCTTTGCTGATGATGTGGTGGCTCACTTGAGACCAGATCCCCACTCAGAAATACAGGGGCCTGGCTCCCCCAGGAGCAGCTGTCTGGGGGCTGGAGCCAGGGGACCATCCTCCACGTGCACACTGATGTCCACAGGGAACAAGCAGGAGTGGGTGTGGTGTGGACGAACTGAGACCTTAAGAAGCAATGGGCTTGCAGGCTGGGGTGCAACAGACAGAAGGCCCATAGCCCTGGGCTCTGGCAGCACTGTGCAGACACCACTTCTGCCCGTGGACGGGGCCTGCTCTGCGGGGCAGCACCTTCCTGGCTGAGGGCAGTGAGGAAGCCACACACTCTGGCCTGGCACAGAGACTGCAGCCAGGGGTGCCAGCCACCTGACGGGCCTGGGCCAGGCTGAGCCGCAGCCACTCCTGGTGGGAGTTCCACTCGAGGCCACTGAGGACGTGTTCTGAGCAGCAGGGCTGGACACCTCAGGACACAGCTTCCTGAGACAGAGCAGGGAGACCGCAGGCCACACTCCTCAGGGAAGCAGAGGAAACAGCAGGCAGGGCTTCACTGTCCACCGTGGAGCAACAGCTCACCTTATCCACTCACGCTCACTCAAACACTTGGAATCCTCGCCTTCTCAGAGGCTGAGGCATGAGGGTCCCAAATTTAATTCCAGCTTGGGCAATTTAGCGATTTAGCAAGGCCCTATCTCAAACTAAAAACCAAGCAGAGGAGACTTGGGGTGTGGCTCCACGCCAAAGCCCTGGGTTCAGGACCCTCAGTTTGGGGACAACACAAACTAGATCCACAAAAGAATCCGTGCAAAGGAATTGTGGACTGGGAATCTGTCTGATCAACGCTGCCTAAGTAAAACAGATTTTGACAGCTGATTTTAAAAGCTTTTTTCTTATTTGTTTAACAGACAAGTTCCTGGCTGGAGAATTTCTTCTAATTGGACTTGGCTGGGGAAGGCAGGGCCCCATCCAGCAGCAGCTCAGCGCCCAAGGAGGGAGACAGCGGGACTCTCCCTGCCGGAATTCCAGTGGGAGGCCGAGAAGGGGCAGGTCGCACACTCTGGTCTAGAACAGTAGGCCCTGGGGCCTTGAAAACAGTAGCCATTAGTAGCTTTGCAAAAAGCCACTGAGCTGGGAGTGGAGGGCCACGCCTGTAATCCCGCACTCCGGGAAGCTAAGACAGGAGGACAGCAAGTCCAGCCTGGACAAGTGAGCATGACTCTGATTCCAAATAAAAAAGCAAGAAAGGGCTGAAATGTAACTGTAGTTCAGAACACAAGTCCCGGCTTCCCTCCTCAGTACTGTAGGGCGGGAAAAAAAAAAAAAAAAAAAACTGACACCGCAGAAAGCATGCATGAAAATAGTTCAATGCAATTCCAGGAAGAGTCAGGAGAAAAATTATTATGGGGCCATGAAGGAAAAATAGGATGAGGTCAGGTTACCCAGCAAGGGCCTAGGCAGGGAAGAGGGCAAGGTTCGGGTGGGTCGGCAAAGCCAGGACATAGGTGCAGAGCGTGAAGCCTCCAGCTCACAGCAATCAGTGAAACTACAGCAGGGAGAAGGCGTGTCATGAATAAATCAATCCATATTAATGACAGAAATCAATAGTTTATATTTTATGTAAAGAAAAAGATGAAATGCCAGAGCTTTCAGTAGGTCCTCCAATACCAAATCTCAAGGTCACTGAAATACATCATTAAAATGAACAGGTGGGGCTGGCCAGCTAGCTCAGTGAACTAAAGCACCTGCTTAGGCAGAGCGTGGGGACAGGGGTCTGATGCCCCGAGTGCCCTGCGGGCCCCACCCCCGGGGCACACTGAGATGCTAGAGCCTGGGCGTGGTGACACCCACCTGTAATACCAGTGCTTGGGAGGCTGAAAACAGGAGGATCACTACAAGTCCAATCTGTGTAGTGAGACCCTGTATTAATTACATTAAAAAGAAAAAATGAACAGATGCACAAGATCCGGGCCCACATCTAGACAACCCAAGAGGAAGCAGCCGGGCTCCAGCAGGTCCCAGCCACGCTGGCTCTCTGCAGGCCCCCGAATAAGCTCGAATCTAAACAGGAGCCGACGCTGCCACACTTCCCATGTGCACGTCCTTACAGCAGAGCACCGCCTTCATCTCAAGCATTTCTGCTTCCTGTTATGGTCATAAAGCTTTCAATCAACCACAAAGTCGAATGCAATCATCAATTTCCTAAAACACAATAGGCCTGCACACGAGCTGCTCGTTATGGTGCGTGGAAGCACCGAGAATCCTGGTTTTCTTAATCATTACAGAAACGGATTCTGACTACACGCAGCTATGACTTCACTCCCCAGGTCCCAGATTTCAGAACCCAAGAAGCCACAGAGTTCAGGCAGCCAGCGGTGCTGCAGTGGTGGGGCCCTCCCGGGTCGCACAGGCATCCAGTAGGAATCTGCTCTACCTGACTGTGGGACAAGGTCTGGAGACAGAAAAACACATGAAGGCTCACAAACTAGCATCTCATGGACTTTATGGATAGCTCAGTGGCCTAAGTGCCCACCTGGCAAGTGCAGGGTCCTAAGTTGAAGCGCCCGTATCAAAAAAAGGGCAACCCGTGTGGGGCATCACCTGTCTCTCAGGAGATATTTTTATTCCCAGTTCCTATTTCCTATTGCTATTCCCCATCCCCTTTCTCCAATAAATTTTCCTTAAAACAAACAAACAAAAAAAGCTTACCAATATCTTTAGACTACTATGGAAATGTTCAACTTTTAAAAATAAAAATCATGACTCAAGAAGAATAAAATTCCTAGGCCCAGGCTCTACTTCGCATCAACAAATCCATTGGCTGTCTTTGACACCATTAAATGTATTGCCAACATGAAGGCTGGTTGAGAAGTAACATTTTTTTAAAAAACATAGCTGCTGAGGAGACAGCTCAGCAGCATAAGCGCTTGCCTGGCAAGTGTAAGGTCCAGGTACTAAAATTAAAAAAAAAAAAAAAAAAAAAAAAAAAAAAAAAAAAACACACAGCTGAGCTGGGTGAGGTGTGTGCGCCTGCAGTCCTTGCATTGTGAGAGGTGGAGGCAGAATTCCAAGTTTGAGTCCCACCTGGACAACTGAGCAAAACCTGCTACAAAATAAAAGCCAAAAATTACTAAAGGGCTGGGATGTAGTTCAGGGCCATGTCACCAAGTTCAATCCCACATACCTCAAAAAAAAAATCGAATTGAGCAGTAAAAGTTTACAATTATTACATGTGCCCCCATCTGAAGGGATGCAAATGCATCCTTTACTGATGTGTAGCTGGTTGCTATTTTCTCCTGCGGCTGCTTGCAGGGGTGCAGTGCACAGCATGACGGCCGAGCCCTGGGACTGTCACCAGCAGCAGGCTCTCTCCTTGAGCGCATGTTGGCTGCTGACCACAGGAAAGGAGCTCAAGTTTCCCACTCTGATAACTGTTCACAAATTACTTTTTGTTCTGCTAACTTGCTCAGGTAGAAACACGTGCAGAGAGCGGCAGCGGCTCTGTCTGCGTGAAGCCCGCTGACTTCCACACACGAAGCCTGGTGCTCAACATTCGGCAGCCCGCACCCCCTCTGCTGACATCGGGCATCACTGGAAACCTTGCTATTCTGCACAAACGCGTGATTCCACCCTAGAAAATAAAGACTCGCCGCTCTGCAGCACCCCAGCCCTTCCATCCCCCATTCAAAATGCAACGTAAAGCAAAATCACTCTGATCCCTTAACCAATGACTGTGAGGATGGGTCCCACAAATGTTCGAGTAGATGAACCACAAATAAGTGGATACCCTGCAAATAAACAGATTAAGCAGGGACTTGAGTATATTTTGAAGCTTCTCTACAAAAGCAGTTTGACTCCATTTGTATTCTAGAATATTCTGTTAATCATTACACTTAAAGCTATCCCCAGCTGAGCTCTAAAATTCCTTCACACATCGAGCCTGCGTGTGAGTTTTCACACAGGCCCCTTCCTCACAGGACACTCCCCCACACAGCTGCTGGTCATCAGGCCACTGTTCAGTGAAGAAGTTACCAATCTGAGGTAACTTCAGATTGCAAACCGTCGTCTCAATCTGAGGAAAACCGGCACCTGTGCTCCTAACGAAGCTAACTAATACCTATTTGTTAATACTGTAGTCAACCATAATCGGCCAATTTATATTCCACAACCTGTCGGTCCCTTCAGTTATGTTCACGAAGGGCCTTTTATTTCTTATTCTGAGATAGTTTCACTAAGTGACCCGCGGCTGGGTGGGAACTTGCATTCCTCCTGACTCAGCCTCCCAGGGTGCTGGGATCACAGGTATG